CTGCAAAAGAATAAATGGACACAAATCGGACATCAGGAATGGTAACATACATAAGCCAGTAAGTGAACACTTCAATCTCCCTGGTCATTCTATTACAGATTTAAAAGTCACTATCTTTGAACAAAAAAACTTCAGAAACAGACTTCAAAGAGAAACAGCAGAACTAAAATTCATTTGCAAATTTAACACCATTAATCTGGGCTTGAATAGGGACCGGGAGTGGCTGGCTCATTATAGAAGCAGCTTTTCCTCTCCTGGAATTGACACCTCCTCATCCATTATTGGGAGTGGACTACATCCACCCTGATTGAATTGGCCCTGTCAACACTGGTTCTCCACTTGCGAAGTAACTCCCTGCTCTCCATGTGTCAGTATATAATGCCTGCATCTGTAACTTTCATTCTATGCATCTGAAGAAGTGAGGTTTTTACCCACAAAAGCTTATGCCCAAATAAATCTGTTAGTCTTTAAGGTGCCACCAGACTCCTTTTTGTTTTTGTAGATACAGACTAACACAGCTAGCCCCTGATAGTTGTTATAATTTTGTCCTTCAAAACATCTCTGGCAAAAAGTTCCACGGGTGACTGTGCATTGTGTGAAGAAATACTTCCTTTTGTTTGTTTTAAACTTACTGCCTATTAATTTAATTGGGTGACCCTTGGTTCTTGTGTTAAGTGAAGGGGTAAATGACACTTCCTTATTCATTTTCTCCACACCAGTCAAGATTTTATAAGCCTCCATCATATCCCCTCTTAGTCATCTCTTTTCCAAGCTGAAAAGTCCCAGTCTTTTTAATCTCTCCTCATAGGGAATCTGTTCCATACCCCTAATCATTTTTGTTGCCCTTTTCTGTACCTTTCCCAATTCCAATATATCTTTTTTGAGATGGGGTGACCAGAACTGCATGCAGTATTCAAGATGTGGGCATATCATGGATTTATATAGTAAAAGTGGAGGAGCTTGGTTTGCCAGACTGATCAGCTAAGCCAATACTGACAACCTATATGAAAAGGCTGCAAAACACCATGCCTCTGGACTGCATCAACTTGCAGAAAGCCTTATAAGCCAGTCACTGTCAAAGCCAATTTTAGAAGAACTTAATGAGGCTGTTAAGAATGCTGGAGACACAACTCAGTTTATGTGAACCAACATGGCTGTTGCACCATACTTTCTATTTAAGTAAGAGATACCACACAATACAAACTGGAGGCCAATGTTAAGTGCACTGTCACTTGTTAATCCTGAAGTTGGACACTAATTTAGAACAAGACTGGCAAATGCTCGCTATCTTTCTGAAAAATCTCAGCTGACTCTCTAGAAGCATGCGGTGCAACAGTGAAAGACTCAGCAGTTGAAAAAGTGAAGAACTCTCTCACCATATTCAAAAAATGTGCATACATGGCTGATGACACTCCAATTCAAATAGGCATCAAGTATTAAGTCATTGCGTATGTTATCTTGATGTCCATGGTAGACCAGTAGATGCATTCTAGATATTCAGGTTATAGAAGACACATCAGCTGCATCTTTGACATCTTAGAAGAGTTAAATGCTTGTAAATAGAACCCCAAACAGATGGCTGCTTGTACATTTGACGGAGCTACAAACTTCTCTGGAAGACATAGTGGAGTACAAGCTTTGCTCAGAGAAAAGTGTAACCCTAATCTCTCCTATACACATTGCAGAGGCCATCTACTCCAGCTAGCGCTAGTACAAGCTGAAGAATCTTAAAAAGATATTAAAAAGTCACAAATTTAATGGCTTTTTTATACTTTTTTTTCCAGCAAGAGTCCAAAAGGACTGAACGTCTTGAAAACAAATAGAAGATATACTGGGATTGAAGTTCAAATTAGTCCAACTTGGGAAAACTTGCTGGCTTTCTCATGAGCGATTCTTGGCTGTTGTCTTAAAATTACTGCAACTATTATTACTGGTTTTGGAAAATATCCACCAAGATAGGACAGATCTAAGTAATGAGGCTGGTGGATTACTTTTGTTACGAAGTTCAGAGAAGACTATCGTCATTCTCTCTCTTGCAAGTCTACTGTTTAAACAATGTCATCCAGGCATCTGCTACAACAGTAGTAGATCTTTGTCCAGCAATAGAAGCTACCCTTGGATCAATCAGAGATATCCATTGAAAATGTACTGGAAGAAGCAAAGACTTCAGTCCAGAAGATACTTATATTGACTCCTTAAGTGAAGAGGACAAGAAGTGCTTGTTAAGCCAGCTGAAAAAGTACACAGACTTGAGTCTTACAAATCTACAATAACGATT